GTGATTGGTGACAAACTGCTAAAGCTGTCGCTGTATTCCGTCTCTGATTGGCTGACTGTTTTGATCACGATCAGGGGGCGGGGCTACAGGACAAAGAGTGGTTTGCTGGAGTTTGTGAACGTAAGACTGCGGAGGAAACCGTGCTCAGGATTAACAAGGTGTGTCTATTTAAATATAAACATTTACATTTTATTTAAATGCTGCATGTTTATTATCTAAATGGCAATGTTGCATTCAATTAAGCAATAAAATAAAAGAATAAAAAGATGATGATGAAATGTAAAATGAATGAAATATAAATATTTACATTTTATTTGAGTGCTGCATGTTTGTCATCTAAATTCCGTTATATTGTTCTGAAATTAAGCAATAAAATAAAATAAAAAATAAAATGAAATCTAAGATAAAATGACAAAATAAAACCATACTCAGGATTAACAAGTTGTGTCTCTGTTTGTGTGATTTTTATTTTGGTATGCTTATCCTGGGAATGTTCATTTGAATCATATTGTTCTGAAATTAAGCTACTAAATATAGTATAAAATAATTAATAAAATAAAATAGAAAATGAAATACATTTAATTTAAATGCTTCATGTTTATCATCTAAATTGGAATGTTCTGTTGAGTTGTACTGTTCCTAAATAAAGCAGTAAAATAAAATATAAAATATTTATATTTATTCATGTAAAATATTTATCATAGCTCTTGTTGATTTTGATTGCTTCCATTGTCCTCATTTGTAATTTATTGAATCATTTTTGACATTTGTGTGTGTTTGTTTGTGTGTGTGTGTGTGTGTGTATATATATATATATATATATATGTTGTGTATGTGTATGTGTGTGTATATATATAATTTTATATGTACGCACAAAATGATTCAAAATGTCAGAAATAAAAATAAGTAAAAATGTATAATGTCAAAGCAAAACTGCAGCATGACAGTAAATATTTCTCATTGGTATAGTTCTGATGATCTGTGTGTGTGTTCTGCAGCTCTTCAGCAGTTTGCAGGAGATGATCTCTCATCACATGAAGAACCCGAGTTTGTGAACGTAAGACTGCGGAGGAAACCGTGCTCAGGATTAACAAGGTGTGTCTATTTAAATATAAACATTTACATTTTATTTAAATGCTGCATGTTTATTATCTAAATGGCAATGTTGCATTCAATTAAGCAATAAAATAAAAGAATAAAAAGATGATGATGAAATGTAAAATGAATGAAATATAAATATTTACATTTTATTTGAGTGCTGCATGTTTGTCATCTAAATTCCGTTATATTGTTCTGAAATTAAGCAATAAAATAAAATAAAAAATAAAATGAAATCTAAGATAAAATGACAAAATAAAACCATACTCAGGATTAACAAGTTGTGTCTCTGTTTGTGTGATTTTTATTTTGGTATGCTTATCCTGGGAATGTTCATTTGAATCATATTGTTCTGAAATTAAGCTACTAAATATAGTATAAAATAATTAATAAAATAAAATAGAAAATGAAATACATTTAATTTAAATGCTTCATGTTTATCATCTAAATTGGAATGTTCTGTTGAGTTGTACTGTTCCTAAATAAAGCAGTAAAATAAAATATAAAATATTTATATTTATTCATGTAAAATATTTATCATAGCTCTTGTTGATTTTGATTGCTTCCATTGTCCTCATTTGTAAGTCGCTTTGGATAAAAGCATCTGCTAAATGACTAAATGTAAATATATAATGACAACTGCATTTACGATTAAGAATGTAGTACTGTTTATAGGCGATTTGTATTTTCTATTTAGTTAAATGCTACATATTTATCTTCTATATGTGATTGTTGATGTATATAGTTAACATTCACTAGTTTTGGACAGTATATTTGTCATGTGTGTGTCTGGCAGGACGGCACGTTTCTGGTCAGATTCAGCAGTTCTCAGAATGACCGTCAGCCCTTCACGCTGGTCGTGCTTTACCGGCAGAGCGTTTACAACATCCCGGTGCGCTTCCTGGAGGATTCGCAACAGTACGCGCTCGGAAAAGAGGGCAAGAAGACAGAAGAGGTAGAGGAGGAGAGGAAGATCTGTGTTATGTGTGACGTCTGCACATCTGTCTGTCTGTCTGTCTGCTTTCACTTCAAATTCACATGCAGTGTGACAAGGACCACAGTCAGGAGATGATCTCTCATCACATGAAGAACCCCATCCTCCTGATCGACCGTAAGAGTCAAGCTAAACACAGCACTCTCCTCTCACGCCCCGTTCGGCCCTAACGCTCCCGTCCCGCTCTCATTTCAACCCCCACCGCCTGATACTGACCCTGATCTCACACAAACACTCACTCATACTCTGCCTGAATTATTTATTACATTGTGTTTGTAATGCAGTCCGATGTTCATAGTATGTCTTGTGTTCGGTACATTTCATGTTTGGGGATTTTTGAATATGGTGACTATGTAGTGTTCATTAAATAACTTTAGTTAAACTCTATGCATATACTGTATAATGTTTGCAGGACAACTTGTTGTCTCATGTAAAATAGTTAATAAATAAAGAAAAAAACAACATGTGACCTTTCTGGCATTTTTTCCCACACTAACTTTACAATCAAATTAAAACAAAATGACAGAAACTGAAATATGATTTCATGTGGGCGTTGTAAAGATACTGTACTCTGAAACTATAAGCTAATCGTAATGTTAAGTGGTAAAGCAGTACAGACGGGGTACTATCTGATCAAATATTTATCAACATTGTGGTACTTTGAAATTATTTGCATATTAATGTAGCGTGATGTTTACATGACAGATCCTTGAAATGTCGATTTATACGTCAAACAATACCATGCTACTTTATTATGTTTCATGTGTTTGTTTATGAAGTGCTATTAGCATTAACTGAAACTATTTAAACATTTGTTTATTGAAATTAATGTTAAGAAAAATATATAACAACTTAGTTACAGTTTCAGTAAATATTTAAATTTGTTGCCAAAGGAATATTTTATAGCTGTAGTTTAAGTACTTAAATTTCTAAAACATACCAGTTAACTAAAGTTACTAAAAATAACCAAACTAAAATGTAAATAAAATTATTACAACTAAATAGACTTTTAATAAAAGAAACAAAAACATTCAATTAAATTGTTAATTTAAATAAAATGAGTGTTAAATAAAATCTTTAAAAAAACTTTCAGTAAAACATCAGTATGTTGAAGAAGGAATATTTTATAGTTTTAGTTTAAGTTAAAGTACTTAAATTACTAAAACTAAAAATAACTAAACTAAACTAAAATATAAATAAATAATAAAAACTAAACCGAAACATTAAATAAAGAAATAAAACTAAAACATTTAGTTAATTGAAAAAAAAACATGTTAATTGAAATAAATGTTACCTAAAATATAAAAAATCTTAAAGAAAAAAAATCTTTCAATTTTTTTACAAATATTTCAGTTTGCTGCCAAATTAATATTTAATTTTTAGGTTGGAATAATTAAATTAACTGAAATAATATATATATATATATATAAACTTAATAGACATATAAAAAAGCATTTGGTAATTTAAATAAAATAAATAACAAAAAAAAACTCTTATACTTTCATTAAATATTTCAGTCAGTTGTGTCATGTTTTAGTTTAGTTTAAGTTGAAGTACTTATTACTTGAAATGAAATAAAAATGGAATGCAAATAAAATGAAATAAAAATTAAGTAAACATTTAAAAAAATAAAATAAAATAAAAACAATCATAAAAGGTCAATTAAAATTAAAACGGAAAATATAAAAATAAATTCAAAATACTGTCTATAGTATTGTATGAATGATAGTAGAACAGCAGTAGTGTTGTTGTTGTTGTTGCGGCTGCTGCTCTGAGTGAGTGTGCAGAAATAGACCCCAGTATTTCTGGCTGGAGGGGGGAGTTCCTGCTGTCACATGCTCGTCTCGAGCGGAAGGGTACAGCTGACCCCCTCACACTCCCTTCACCCGCAAACTCACGCATTTCCCTGCTTCATACCCCACTGAGCTCCTGTGTGTGAGAGTGTGTTTACAGCATCTGCGCCGCAGGACAGGCGGCTCGTATCAGTGCGCGCGGATCTACTTTCTCACGCGGAGGAGTCCCGCTGCGCTCCGAGAAGAAGAAGTCCGAGACACAGAGATTCACGAGCATTCACCGAATAACCGCGTCACACGGGACACACACAACAACTCTTCATCTGCGCCCCCTCCTCCTCATCTTCCTCCTCTTCTTAGCAATGCATATTACTAATCAAAAATTAAGTTTTGATATATTCACGGTAGGAAATTTACAAAATATCTTCATGGAACATGATCTTTACTTAATATCCTAATGATTTTTGGCATAAAAGAAAAATCAATAATTTTGACCCATACAATGTATTTTTGGCTATTGCTAGAAATATACCCCAGCGACTTAAGACTGCTTTTGTGCTCCAGGGTCACATTTATGCATTTGGCATACGCTTTTATCCAAAGTGAAATACAATGCATTCATTTTTTTTCAATTCATGCATTCCCTGGGAATCGAACCCATGACCTTGGTGTTGCCAGCGCCATGCTCTAATGTTTAGGGTGAACTTAAAGCACTTTAAACATACTCCAAATAATTTTTTAGATGCATCACTTATTTAAATATTGTTTCTCACAATTATTTTCAGAGGGATTGTTGAAATGCTTGTGTTTTGGCTCAAGCTCAGTCTCATGTGACCGCAAAATCTCTTTCCTCATTACAGCTGGAGGATTTTATGCTTTTTGGCAAAGTCCTGAAATACTTTTTGAAACACCTTAGGGATTTTTTTGGTCTAACATCTATTTTATAATATCACATTAAAGCAAATCACTTTGAGTTCTAATAATAATAAAAATAATAATTTTGATATTGACATTTTCATTTTAGTTAAAGTTTTAGTAATTTTGTAGTTTTTGTATACATGTATGTATTGGGGTGTATGTGTGTGTGTGTGTGTGTGTGTGTGTATATACTCCTCTTCTCTCCGTGAGAATGGCGCAGATTTTACCGATCCGCTTCCAGGAGCATCTGCAGGTAAAACCGCACGGACTCACGCAGCGTTCGTGGCTTTCCGCTCGACGCCGTTAAACCGTAAACACGCAACTGTGTAACGGCGGCCTCGTGCACGAGTTACATAGTTGATACATATGTGACATTAGAGAATATAGAGTTGCGTTACATGTTACACAGTTGCCTGGCATTTAAAAGAATGACGGTAAAGGGATTGTTAGCTTACATAGTAACAACGTTCCATGACGTGTCAGAAATTGTTACATAGTTGCATGACATTTAAATGATTACAGTTACTGTATCATGGAATGTTTCTTTTTTGTGTGTGTGTTACGCAGTTGCACTTGCCCAACATTTAAAATAATGCTGGTTTTTATTAACATTGTTATTCAATATCAATATTTTAGGTTACAACTGGTCCACTTTGATTTGTCCTGCAGTGTTTTTAAGTATTATTACATATAAAAATGGTTATAATATTAAGTATTTTTACATATAGTATTATGTTAAGTATTGCTACATATAACAATATATATAGCAATATAAGCTCTGAAAACGGCTTGAATGATCATTATACACAAATTAGAACTAGTTTTAGATGAAGTACAGTTCTTGGAATTGTATTTCAATTACCCAGCATGGTGGAAATTGACACATTGCGACATGTATTGTATGATAAATTGCACAGTAGTTGCATGGAATGCAAAAAATACTTACTGTAGTGAAAAAAGCATCTTTGCTGCAGTGAATTTTAGAGATGATGAAACCGTTAATAATATTTGAATGACTCTTCATAATGCGTTGTGCAGGTACAGTAGTGTATGTGCAGTGAAATGCTGTATTATAGCCTTAATTTATGTAAACAAGGCCTCTAAATTGCACATTTAAAGTTGTTTGTGACATCTTGCAGCTTCTGAATGTATGTTTAAGTGCTTTGAAGCTCTTTTGTAAGTTGTTATTGGAACCAGTTGATTTTGTGTTTTAAGGCTGATGTATTGACAATATTGTCTCTTTTCTCTCTATACTGCATTAGTCAGATGAGCTTGTGTCTGTAATTGTGGGTTGGAAATGCACCGTCAGTAACTCCAGACATGCGGTATTCCTGTTCAGCACAGTGCTGTGTCATGTGTGGCTTAAAAACACACTTCAGATAGCACCGTCTGCAGTCTTTAAAGGAATAGTTCATCCAAAAATGAATATTTGCTTAATGTCCTCACCCTCAGGTCATCCAAGATCTAGATGAGTTTGTTTCTTCATCAGATTTGGAGAAATGTAGCATTGCATCACTTGTTCACCAGTGGATGCTCTGCAGTGAATGGGTGCCGTCAGATTGAGAGTCCAAACAGCTGATAAAAACATCACAATGATCCACACCACTCCAGTCCAGCAGTTAACATCTGGAGAAGACGAAAGCTGAAACAAATCCATCATTAAGATGTTTTAACTTCAAATTTTAATTGTGGGTAGATCACTGAGGAAGCGTTATTATGGATTATAGACTCATATTTTGGCCAGAAGCAACAGTTTGAAGTTAAAAAGACCTTAATGATGAATTTGTTTCTTACAAAGATGCAGCTTTTGGCTTCACAAGACGTTAAGACTGGAGTGGTGTGGATTACTGTGATGTTTTTATCAGCTGTTTGGACTCTCATTCTGACATTTCTTCAAATCTGATGAAGAAACAAACTCATCCTAATCTTGGATGACCTGAGGGTGAACACATTTTCAGTATATTTTCATTTTTGGATGAACTATTCCTTTAGTTTTCTGCTTGAGTGTGATAAGATTCGGGACTCTTCTTCACTCTTTTCTTCTGCATTAGAGTTGCTCTCCTGCATTGAAGTGTGTGTTCTGTGGATCCATTGGAAGCAATGGGACAGTGTTATTTTGGAGACGAGGGCCTCAGTGCCAAACGCTAATGAAGTTTCATTCTACACGCCTTTGAAAATATTCTCCATGACAGAGACGTGCGAGCGTTTCTCATACTGTCCCAGCCTCACCTTTCCACAGGCCGTGTTTTCTTTGTCGTTCACAGAACGCTTCTGGAATTCACTCTGCAGCTGATTGAAACCAGATGCTGCTGTCTCATTTAGATGTACGGCTGCTTCACTGGGATTTGAGATGATATTTTGTTGTAAAATGTGGAATTTCATAGCGTGTCTCTTGAGATACTGTCCCTCCATGTTCTCTCTCTCTCTCGTGTTATTCCGGTGTCGGACGCTCAGCCGGTGCAGTTCAGTTAAAGAATGCCAAGAATCTGCAGCCGGCAGGACTTTGGGTCTTTAGCAGCTTGGCTTTATGTCTTGAACGTGTGTTTGAGTTTGAGTTCATTCAGAGCTGGATTATATTGATACAGTTTGATCCTGAATGGAACTCTGTGTGTGTGTGTGTGTGTGTGTGTGTGTGAGCGCTTTTATAAATAGACACAGTTCATTCTGCTCATGTCTTATATATATGTTGAACTGGAAAAGGAACAAACACACAGATATAAATATCCAGCTTCACTAGTCTTTCAAATAACTTCGTATAGATCTTAAAAGCATATGATTTAATCTGTAACACCAGATTTTACATAAATGCTCTTTATTATTTAAATTACTACTTGGTTTTATTATTCAAATTACATTTTTTTATATATATTTTTATTGTTTAAATGACTATTTTAAAACTTTTATTATTTGAATGACTTGTTTCTTTTATTTTTATTAAGTTTATTTTTATTTTTGATTATTTCAATGTCTATTTTTTATTTATTTTTATTATTTAAATTCCTTTTTTTTAAAAACATTTTTATTATTTAAAATACTATATCTTGTTCTGCTCATGCTTATGGGGTTATTTTTGCCGTGTCATTTTTCTCTGTCGTCTGATTGGCTGCTGATGTAAAGCTGTAACCCAATAGAGATTTGGCTAATGAAGTTACGAGCAGGAAGAGGAAACATGTTTATCAACAGCATAAACTGACACAGAGGACTAGTTTTATTACACACACACTCAAAATTAAAATCTAAATATCTTTAGTTGAACTCATTGCTTGCATGATTGTGTTTTGAGGGGAATATGAATGAAATAGTCTTTCCTGTCTTTAATATCAGTTGATTTTAGATGAAAAAATATTGTTTTTGCAACAGTGTCTGCTAATATTTAACCCTTCTAGCAATGATTATCGCACACACAACAGGGTTAGAGTTACTCGAAATAAAACAAACATAAGCAACTGCGATAAAAGTAAAAAAATCTTACTTATTTTGTTTCAGCTTTTTGGTAAGGAAAAAATTTATCCTTTCCATTGATCTACCAATACTACTAAAAACTTATAAACAAAAAAACCCCACAACAAAATGACTAAAACTTTAAAATTCATTTGAAAATTGTAAATATGAAAAAATAAATGTTTATATTTATAAAAATTTAAAAAAAAAAACGATATTAGTATCTCAATGATTTATTTATTTATATACTAATTATAGGATTTAATAATGTTTTGAATTACCTTGAACCAAATTTTTATATTTTCAGTTTTCATTTTCGTTTCAATTTTAGTAAGTGCATTTGTCATTTTTATTAATATTTCTTTTAAATATTTATATTTCGCTTTATATTTATTTCAGTTTTTAGTAGTTTTAGAACTTCAACTTCAACTTAGTTCAGTTAGTTGCCAAAGCAATAAGTTTAAGCTTTCCATCTAATATTTACAAGGGCGTAGAATTTAGTAGGGTTTTACCACAGTTTTACTACAAATACCATGTTTAAACTATAGTAACCATGTTTTTTCACCTTAAGAGGACACATAGAGATACAGTTTTCACTGATTTAGGATTAACAGAACTTAGTATCAATGTACTTGTCTAGATAAACTTTGAATAAAAAAAAGAGAGATTTACTGCCAGATTTTTGTTTGTGAAATGTAGCTAGCAGGAAACACAAATGAAAGGGGTCATATGATGCGATTTCAATATCTCCTTTCTCTTTGGAGTGTTACAAGCTCTTGGTGCATAAAGAAGATCTGTAAAGTTGCAAAGACTAAAGTCTCAAAACCAAAGAGATATTCTTTATAAAAGTTAAGAGTCAGCCACACCTACCTAAAACGGCTCGTTCTAACACGCCCCCACATGTCTACGTCACGATGTGCGAAGATTGACGCGTTTCAGAAAGGCGGTGCATAGAGGAGAAACAATAATGTACAGTATGTGGAAAATAATGTGTTTTTTAACCTTAAACTGCATAAACACATTTCATTACACCAAATACACCAAATAATGTTCTTTTTAGCAACATCATATGACCCCTTTAATATTTTTGAAGGCGGATAGTTGATAAAAGTTAAGATTTTGACATTTTTAATTATTCTGAAGTTAGAATGCCAATATAATTAATAATAAATAATGTAATAGTGATCTTTCCTTTTTAGAGCATTGTACTCGTAACAACAGTCATGGTTTTGATTTCCCCATGATTACTAAATGTTTACCTTTGAATTAATTTTTGATAAAAGTGTTTGCCAAATGCATGAATGTAAATGTCTTGCAGTAGATCAGTAAGCGGAAGAGACCGAGACAGAGTCTGCTTCATCTCATTCTGCTCGGAGACGGATCATCATCATAGACGAGCCCATGGGAAATGAGTTTACCTCCTCATTAGTGTGTGTGTGTGTGACTGGACATCTGGAGCTTTCTGCCCCACTACATCTTGAGTGAGGACGTCTCATAGATGCAGTGCTTCTCATACAGGTCTAATGCTGCTGTGTGTACAATAACATAAGCGTCTAACCCTTCACTCAAACCTGTCTGATTAAAGCCACACCTAATTTAGCTGAATTATGAGTCTTTATAAATCCTGAAGTCACTGTTCGACAGGCTTCTTTACATTGGTGAGGAGAATTTTCACTAATAATGTCATTTTGGATCTTTGTTACTCCTAAAACTTCTCTTATTTAAAAAAATATATATATGTTTTACATTGTCATTTTTATTTTTTTGTTAACATTTTTATGATTTAATTAATTTCTAGCAAGTTTTTAATTTTATTTTGAATGTTTTTATTTTAAATGGATTTTTATTTAATTAATGTTTATTTATTTAAATGTTATTTTAGTCTTATTTTAATTGTCTTTAATTTATTTGAATGTTTACATTTGCATTTAATTTTCAGCAAGTGTTTTATTTGGATTATTTATATTTAAAAATAATTTTAATTGTATGATTTTATTCATTTTTAGTACGTTTTATTTTGATGATTTTTATTTTTTAAATTTGATTAAAACTTCTATTGTTTCAGCTTTTTAGGTTACAATCATTGCTCTTGGTAATGTTGACTATGTGAGTGTGATAGTATATATATATTTCATATTATATAACCATTTTCATTTTACTTGAAAGTATGAAACTGTAGATGTGTGTAAATTGCAGGCAGCTTCATTCAAATGAGTCCCGTTACGTAATGTTTCTAAAGCACCTGCTTTCCTCATCGTCTTTGCATTAAATCATCAGATTAGGTGTGTTTGAATTACTGTATATCAGAAACAGACAGATATTTACATTTTCAAGCTGACAATGGTGCTCTTCATTTGGAAATTTTGGCCTGTAAAAAACAAATGACTCGTGTGTTGGTTGTTTAAAATGTTTTATTAATTTCCAGCTAAAAAACAAAAATCATTGTTTTTAATTTTAAGCATGCAGTTATTGTTACACAAATCTCAGAATCGGTAAATCTGAAGCAAAATAAGTAGTATATGAAAAACATGAAATATATTAAGTTGAAGTACTAAAACTAACATATAAGTTAAAGCTAAATAGAGAAATAAAAAAAATACTGGTCCTTTATTTATTAAATTTTTATAATTTATTTTTTAGCAAGTGTTTTATTCTGATTGTATTTTAAAAATTATTTTAATGTGATTGTTTTTTATGATTTACATTTTTGAGGGTGTTTTTTTATGTTTTTACTTTAAAAGTATTCATTTTGACATTTTATGCTTTAATAATTTTTTTGCAAGTGTTTTGTTTTTGATTGTGTTTTTTATTTTATTTTATTTTTGATTGTTTTAATTTAACATATTAAAGATATTTACATTTTTAAAGCTGACAGTAGTGCACTTTAGTTATTGTGTTTTGGCCTGTACGTAAATGACGTGTGTTGCTTGTTCAAAATGTGGCCTAATTTGCAGTGAAACACATTGTTTTTGATTTTAAAGCATGCTTTTCTTGTTCAATCTCAGGATCTTATCCAGACAGAGAGAGAGAGCCGAGCCGTATCTAGAGACCAAACATCAGGTTTTGTGAAGATGTTCATTAGAGCACTAAATACACACTCACTCCTCTATCTGTCCGTGTGTGTGTGTGTGTGTGTGTGAGTGTGTGTGTGTGTGTGTGTATGTGTGTGTTTGAGGGAGTTGCTGAGACAAGGAAAGGGAGGAAAGAGTCGTGGCTCTATTTCCTCTGACTCAAGAGTGTGTGTGTGTGTGTGTGTGTGTGAGTGTGTGTGTGCGTGTGTGTGAGTGTGTGTGTGTGTGTGAGTGTGAGAGAGTGTGTGAGTGTGAGAGAGTGTGTGAGTGTGAGAGAGTGTGTGAGTGTGAGAGAGTGTGTGAGTGTGAGAGAGTGTGTGAGTGTGAGAGAGTGTGTGAGTGTGAGAGAGTGTGTGAGTGTGAGAGAGTGTGTGAGTGTGAGAGAGTGTGTGAGTGTGAGAGAGTGTGTGAGTGTGAGAGAGTGTGTGAGTGTGAGAGAGTGTGTGAGTGTGAGAGAGTGTGTGAGTGTGAGAGAGTGTGTGAGTGTGAGAGAGTGTGTGAGTGTGAGAGAGTGTGTGAGTGTGAGAGAGTGTGTGAGTGTGAGAGAGTGTGTGAGTGTGAGAGAGTGTGTGAGTGTGAGAGAGTGTGTGAGTGTGAGAGAGTGTGTGAGTGTGAGAGAGTGTGTGAGTGTGAGAGAGTGTGTGAGTGTGAGAGAGTGTGTGAGTGTGAGAGAGTGTGTGAGTGTGAGAGAGTGTGTGAGTGTGAGAGAGTGTGTGAGTGTGAGTGTGTGTGTGTGAGTGTGAGAGAGTGTGTGGGTGTGTGTGAGTGTGTGTGTGTGTGCGTGTGTGTGTGTGTTGGCCGTAGGCTGCTCTACAGTATCTCCAGTCCTTGCGTAAGCGTGTGTTCCCATCAGACAGACAGCAGGTTTGCGTTACGCCCGTGTTTCTCAGAAGTGAATCATTCAGAGAAATCATTCTGAAGATTGTGAGCTTTCCCCCGTCTGTATGATCCAGACCGGTTTACTGTTTCATATACGGCTGTGCTGAGAGTTTAGACCAGTGAGAGTTCACTATGAGGAAAATATCAAAGATAATGTCAAAATATCTTGTGCACAGCTGCTTAGAGCAGAAACTGTTGGTTAACATCAGAGATGTTTTATCGCTCGATGCTTTATTGCAGGAATTACCAAATATTCTTTTGTTTGTGTGTTTTTTTTGGTCAGCTGAACCTCTTTGAGCTGAAATATTTACTTGAAGTACCCCTGAGTTTTCAAGTTTATATTTCAATTACAATGACACATTCACATGTTCACCGTTCTCTGACGTCACAGGTCACATGACATGCAGGTAAACTAATAAAATAAATAGTTATACTTTGATTATTAATATTAAATAATTTTAGTTTACATTTTTATGATGAATATTGTTTTATTTTTTTAAATATTTATTAATTTTACATTTTATTGTTTGTTTTATTTTTTTCTTTATTAATTTTAATTTAACATTTTGTGATTTCATAAATTTTTAGTGTCTATTTAGAATATTTTTGTTTTATGATTTAATTTTTTTATATTAATGTTGCATTTTTATGATTTAATTATTTGTTTCATTTGTGATTTATTAATTTTGTGTAATTGTTTAATTTAGATTATTTTTATTTTTGAATTATTTATTAATTTTATGACATCTTATGATTTAATTGTTGTTTTATTTAGATTTTTTAAAGTGTTAATAATTTTGCATTTCTATGATTTAATTTTAACATTTTTACAATCCATCAAAATGAAATCCTTACTAAAAATTAAATCCTAAAATATATCTAAAAAAAATTAAAAATACATTTTAAAGTAAAAACATTTATTTTTAATTTTACATTTTATGATTTATTGAATTTTCAGTAAGTGTTTTAATGTGATTGTTTATTTTTAATAATTTAAACAATTTTACACTATGATTTAATAGAAGTGTTTCGCTTATTTTTATATCAAAATGATTTTTTATTCATTTTTTAAATTCATTTTTAGAAAAAGTTTTATCTAAAAACGTAAAGTCAAAAATTTTAAAGTCTTACATTTATTAATCTTGATTTGACTTTTTGCATTTTTATGTCAATCAATAATTAGGCTATTTAAAAGTCATAAAATGATCATGACAAAAATCCGAGATTGCATGTGTGTTGTTGGATCAGCTGGTTCGGACAGGTGGAGTGTTTCTGAGCGCTGTCCCTGTCTCTCTCTAGCTGCAGACGCTGGGAGTGAGTCCGGCTAGCATCAGCTTCAGCTGCCTGACCATGGAGTCGGACCGCTTCATCTGCATCCGAGAGAAGGTGGACGAGCAGAACCAGGTGCTGATCGTGGACCTGAGCGACCCGAGCAGCCCGATCCGCCGGCCGATCACGGCAGACAGCGCCATCATGAACCCGGCCAGCAAAGTCATCGCTCTGAAAGGTGCCCATCAAATCAGTCTGCCGCGCTTCATTGTGTTGCTGTTCTCTGATACGCTTCTCAGAAATCTTAACTCTCTCTAATCACTAAACCGCTCTCGCTCTGCTCTGCTCTGCTCTTGTTGAAGATGATGGTGAGTTTCTCCGTCGTTCTGGATTGATGTCTGTCGGTCGTGCTCTGATCATTGACGGCACACATACAGTACATATGTGACCCTGGAGCACAAAACCAGTCATAAGGGTCAATTTTTTTATTCTTAGCAATGCATATTACTGATCAAAAATTAAGTTTTGATATATTTACGGTAGGAAATTTACTAAATCTTCATGGAATGAATATCATGAATATCTTCATGGAACACGATATTTACTTTAATATCCTAATGATTTTTGGCATAAAAGAAAAATTTATAATTTTGACCCATACAATGTATTGTTGGCTATTGCTACAAATATACCCCAGCGACTTAAGACTGCTTTTGTGCTCCAGGGTCACGTGTATAACGTCTCATATGTGTGTAAGCGTCTGTGTTCCGTTGACTGAAGGCCGATTGACCGTGCTTCCTCACATATGCATGAGCGCTGTGTGCATTTGTACTTTCTGAGCCTTATTTTGGTGACAAAAGTGAGCTAAACCTTACAAAACCTCCTTTTATGGAAATCAAGGGATATCCTCATTTGGATAAACTATATAAAAAACTATATACATATTTAATTGTAAAAATGCATACATTTTTCTGTTAGGGTGTGGTAGTAGATTTTATTTGGATTTATTTTATTAATTATTTATTTTAATTTTTATGCTTTTAATTTTTAGAAAGTTTTATTTCATGATTTAATGTTTTTATTTTAATTTTACATTTTTGTAATTTAAATTTCAGTATGTGTTTTATTTACAAATTTTTTATTAATTTATATTTTATATATATATATATATATATATACTTTGATTTAATTGTTTTATTTGATAATATTTTGCTTATTTATTAATTAATTATACATTTTTATTAACTTTTTTATTAATCAAAATTAATAAAAAACACTTACTAAAAATTAATTAAATCAAAATGAAAAATAATTTAACAATAAAAACATTTTTAAACTTTAATTTAGTGATTTAATTTAGTGTTTTATTTTTTATTATTTATATATTAACCTTATTATTCATTTTATTTTTTAAATTTTTGGTTCATTTTTAGAAAGTGTTTTATTTTAAGTGTTTTTATTTTAAATTTGTTTATTCATTTTAATTTAGTAAAATAACATTTTACAACTTTATAATTTATTACATTTTCAGAGAGTGAATACGTGTGTGTGTGTGTGTGTGAGAGAGAGAGTGAGTATATGTGTGTGTAAGTGTTTTATTTTGATTACACAGTAAAAATGCATTATTGTAACTTGTTAAAGACATTTGAGCCGAATCATGTGTTTGAGGAAGTAAACCATGTGTGTTTGATACGGTCTGTTCATGCTCAGTTACAGGGAATCATTCCTGCTCATCCAGCTTTATCCATCCGCTCCTGATCTTTTCTTCATCACATCTGGGTTCATGAACCCATTATAGACATTCAGTGCTTTATTATGTTTTATCTGTAATCAGATGTGTATCATGTGATCCGGCTCAGTCTGTCTCTAGAGCAGTGTTGAACTGAAACTGAATTCTTCAATATTCTTAAAACTTTTCTTATTCATTTAATTATACAATTTTAAATTTTTACAATTCAAGTTTTAGCAAGCATTTTATTTTATTTTAAAATTGTTCCTTTTAATTTATTTTTATTTTATTTTAAATTTTTAGTAAGTTTTATTTTGATCCATTTTATTTTAAAATTATTTTATGTTTTCATTTTTATGATTTTTTTTATGAAGTGTTGGATATAGATTTTTTTGTTTAAAATTATTTTTTTATTTTATTTTATTTTTATATAAGTCTGTCTCTAGAGCAGTGTTGAACTGAAACTGAATTCTTCAATATTCTTAAAACTTTTCTTATTCATTTAATTATACAATTTTAAATTTTTACAATTCAAGTTTTAGCAAGCATTTTATTTTATTTTAAAATTGTTCCTTTTAATTTATTTTTATTTTATTTTAAATTTTTAGTAAGTTTTATTTTGATCCATTTTATTTTAAAATTATTTTATGTTTTCATTTTTATGATTTTTTTTATGAAGTGTTGGATATAGATTTTTTTGTTTAAAATTATTTTTTTATTTTATTTTTATATAATAATCTTACATTTTGAAGATTTAAAAGATTTTTTTCTAAAATGGTAAAATTAAATAAAATTAAAATTTAATTAAATTTAATTAAAATTTAATGAAAAACTTAACTAAAACATTTAAACCTAAACTAACTGAAATGAGCTAAAGTATACAAAAATGATTATAACTAAATTGAAATAAAAATAAACTGTTTAGAAATTAGAAAGAAAAAAAAATTATAAAAATAAAAGCTAATTCAAAATATGAATAAATATTGTAATAATATATAATTAATACCAAAATAACACTGATGCCTGTTTTCAGTGCTGCACACAGTTATTGTCTCATCTGTTTTTGTGATGAATACCTGCAAAAAATGTGACATTTAATATTACGTCATGATTAATGATAATGATTCATTAATGTACAGTATTAGATTATTTCTTATTTTCAACAATGATATGTGGGGGAATATTACTTTTAAAGTCAACATGAAATCAATATTTACTTCTGTAATTCACATTTCTGGTGTAAATGTGAATGATTCATCAGTGCATGTTATTCTAAAGTGATGTTTGTCTTCATTATCTTTCATCAGAATGTAATCACTTGCTCTCTCTCTCTGAAACAACTTTCATTTTCAGCCTTTTGATGCATTTAATGGGAATGTTTTTTAACCGTGTTTATTAGTAAATGCATTAAATAAATAATCTACGCTGTTTTGGGTCATTTTAAGGCATAAAACTAAATGAAAGTAATCAAAGTATTGGAGTACTGATGCTACAGATTCAGTGTTGAGTGTGTGAGGTCAAAGGTGGTGTGTGGTGTGTGTCCCGTAGCGGCGCGGACGCTGCAGATCTTTAACATGGAGATGAAGAGTAAAGTCAAGGCTCACACCATGACGGACGAAGTGCTGTTCTGGAGGTGGATCTCGGTTAACACCATCGCCCTGGTTACGGACACGGCCGTCTATCATTGGAGCATGGAGGGAGACTCTCAGCCAATCAATGTGTTCGATCGTCACGCCAGCCTCGCGGGATGCCAGATCATCAACTACAGAACGGACGAGCAGCAGAAGTGGCTCCTGCTCATCGGGATATCAGCGCAGGTGAGTATATGTGTGTGTGTGTGTGAGTATTTGTGTGTGTGTGAGAGTGAGCATATGTGTGTGTGAGAGTGAGTATATGTGTGTGTGTGAGAGTGAGTGTGTGTGTGTGTGTGTGTGTGTGTGA